TACTGTACCTTTGAAAGTTGAAAGAATAGCTAGATTTGATGTAGGGTATCACAAAGTACATAAAGTATTTACAATGTTGTTCTGTACCTTTGAAAGTTGAAAGAATGTATCATTGCAGTGAAATGAGGATAGGATTATCACATGTGCTAACTTTGAGTTACCGGACCATAAACAAAATAATGGCAGGGCATTGTGTAATTGCCCTAGTGAGCCCATGCACTTAAGTCAATCAAACTAAATAACAGACTCAACCAACCTTATGACTGATCACATATAATAGCTATATAATAAGGATATAATAGCTTCACGCAGTAGAGCCTAAAACAGTAGAAAAATAAAATATGAAATAAATTAGAAGTCTATTTCATCACACGGGAAAATGAAAACTATTAATTTATGCTTTCTTGTCAACAAGTAATGCAAGATACTCCTAAAATAAAATGAATAGTCTTGTGACGTTAATGTACATAATTTTGACTTCCAACGATTAAATGTGCACACCATTTGAAATGTACAGAATTTGAGGGCAGTGCCTTCAGACTTGACAAAGCCTCTGAATCAACATTTTTGTAGTATAATGTAAATTTAAATGATTAGTTGGACTTTAGTTTGAATATATTTTTTGTGTAGGAAGTGTCTTGTGGAAGCCGAAGCAGCCGGGTGGTGTTTGAATACGTAAGTTAAATCATCTAGGCACATTAATAAATTGGGGCTCTTCCTAAGAAAGAAAAGAAGTAACCCAGAAATTATTTTTTCTTTTACCATTGTTTGTTTTGTACACTTCTCATAATACCAAAATTCAGTTTGTTGTTTAAAGAAACTTGAACTTTCAGAATGACCTCTGAACTTTAGTATTTTAATGTTACTGTATGTTGGAATAAACAATTCTCATGGGCCTTGTGTTCTAGCCATCGCCACCGAATGACCGAACAAGAAGAAGACGAAGAACTGTTGTCAGAAAGCAGAAGAAGTGCCATCACTGTCACAAGATTTGAACAGTCTCCGACATGTGAGTTTGTAAACGTGAAATACTGTCACAAGATTTGAACAGTCCCCGACATGTGAGTTTGTAAACGTGAAGTTCTATCACTGTCACAAGATTTGAACAGTTCCAGACATGTGAGTTTGTAAACATGAAATACTATCAGTCACAAGATTTGAACAGTCCCCGACATGTGAGTTTGTAAACGTGAAATACTGTCACAAGATTTGAACAGTCCCTGACACGTGAGTTTGAAAACGTGAAGTTCTATCACTGTCACAAGATTTGAACAGTCCCTGACACGTGAGTTTGTAAACGTGAAATACTATCAGTCACAAGATTTGAACAGTCCCCGACATGTAGGTTTGTAAACATGAAATACTATCAGTCACAAGATTTGAACAGTCCCTGACATGTAGGTTTGTAAACATGAAATACTATCACTGTCACAAGATTTGAACAGTCCCCAACATGTAGGTTTGTAAACATGAAATACTATCACTGTCACAAGATTTGAACAGTCCCCGACATGTAGGTTTGTAAACATGAAATACTATCAGTCACAAGATTTGAACAGTCCCTGACATGTAGGTTTGTAAACATGAAATACTATCACTGTCACAAGATTTGAACAGTCCCCGACATGTGAGTTTGTAAACGTGAAATACTATCACTGTCACAAGATTTGAACAGTCCCCGATGTGTGAGTTTGTAAACGTGAAAACTAAGTTATTGCTGTGGACTTTCTGAGGTTAAAATGAAATTTGTTATCTAACAGTATTGGCAGGGTTCTTTCCAAACTTTGATTACCTAGAGAACATAAATGGATTTGTAAAAGCTAATACATTTTTATGTAATTCTTGATAGATATCAAAACTGGTGAGTTGAGGGATTACCAGGTCCGAGGACTCAACTGGATGATATCACTGTATGAACATGGCATTAATGGAATATTAGCTGATGAAATGGTAAGTATTGGTGATTTATCGGAATCAGATCACAAATTTTCTTTATTAATATTTTAAAATAAATGTGAAAATCCGAATTCAATGGTTTTCATTAATAACTTATTCTTTTAGATTGTTTGCTCGGAACAAACTGTGATTTCAGTCTAGTGGTAATCATTGATACTGGAAACAGGAACAGTAGTTTTTGTCTGCATGTTTAGTCTCTACTAAATGGGATACTGTGAATGAATATTGTTTTCTATGAGCACAAGTCATTGAGTTTTCTAGTATTTGTCCTACAAGATACATTTTACGAGGCTGATGATTTGTGTGAAAGAATCTTCCCAAGTGGAAGATTGTAATTCTTCTGTAACTTACCAATGAACCTGAATACAGACTTACACTGGAAGATCAAAATATCATCCTCAGACTTGTTTCGGAAAACCAATCCTTTAAAACTGTGTACGAATGTTTAGTCTGTTTTTGTTCTTTTTTACAGGGTTTAGGTAAAACTTTACAAACTATCTCCCTCTTCGGCTACATGAAACACTATCGGAATGTCAACGGACCTCACATGGTGATTGTTCCCAAGTCAACCTTGGCCAACTGGAAGAATGAGTTTAAAAGGTGGTGCCCAAGCCTAAAGGCCGTCTGTCTGATCGGAGACCAAGAAACGAGGGTAAGAGGAAGTGGGGTGTTTCTAACTTTGTGCTTATCTAAAGTTCTGGAAAAATGTTTATGAAAATGAAAACATGAATATTTTGTGCCTCATAAGATTGATACTATAAAGTTTTATTCATGTTAGTAATGAAATTCTTATAGTTAACACTACAGAATTATACTAAAATCATAAACTTTAGATAAGTTTAAGAAAATAATTGTTTCATTTTAAATCTTTAAACTTAAAGATAACCGATGTACAATAATCTGCCAATTACCATTGATATTAAAATACAATTTACTTGGATTTATTGTACCACGAACTTGAGGATTCTGTATTGTTGACTCACTAAAACAGGCATTTAATACTCCAAATGTTTAGGCCTAAATTGTTATATATAATAAATATACTGCCATATTTTATTTCCAACTTAAAAGTGTCTTACTTGTCTAAACAGGCTGCTTTAATACGTGATACTCTGATGCCAGGAGAATGGGACGTCTGCGTGACGTCCTACGAGATGGTTATTAGAGAGAAGGCAGTTTTAAAAAAGTTTAATTGGAGATATTTGGTAATTGACGAAGCCCACCGAATCAAGAATGAGAAATCCAAAGTATGTATATTTAAATGATCTGTTTATGAAAGTGTCTTTGTGAGACTAATTTTTATATTTTTCGGATGTTGTTTTTGAAGTTCATTGCTAAGACCCAGTTTTTTGTGTAAGAGATATGCATTTTTCACTTTCAGAAGAAATATTCTACTGAATTTGTACAGTCCTCAAACCCGATTTGTTCATAAACTTAAATGATGAATTCAACAATACTGTAATTAGTAACTAGTAGGTAGTTATCATTGTTTAGGTGGTTGAAGATAATGAATATAAGTACGGTGTGTGTGTCTGGTTGGTCATTAGACTGTGGTGTTTTAGTTAGTGAGTCTTTAACGAGATGTGTGTATCCCTAGTGTGATGTTTTAGTTAGTGAGTCTTTAACGAGATGTGTGTATCCCTAGTGTGATGTTTTAGTCAGTGAGTCTTTAACGGAATCTGTGTATCCCTAGTGTGGTGTTTTAGTCAGTGAGTCTTTAACGGGATGTGTGTATCCCTAGTGTGGTGTTTTAGTCAGTGAGTCTTTAACGGGATGTGTTTATCCTTCTGACTAAAACACCACACTGCTTACTCGGTACATACGTATACAGCTTACTCGGTACATACGTATACTGCTTACTCGGTACATACGTATACTGCTTACTCGGTACATACGTATACTGCTTACTCGGTACATACGTATACTGCTTACTCGGTACATATGTATACTGCTTACTCTGTACATACGTATACTGCTTACTCGGTACATATGTATACTGCTTACTCTGTACATACGTATACTGCTTACTCGGTACATATGTTTACTGCTTACTCGGTACATACGTATACTGCTTACTCGGTACATACGTATACTGCTTACTCGGTACATATGTTTACTGCTTACTCGGTACATATGTTTACTGCTTACTCGGTACATACGTATACTGCTTACTCGGTACATATGTATACTGCTTACTCACTAACTAAAACACCACACTAGGGATACACAGATTCCGTTAAAGACTCACTGACTAAAACACCACACTAAGGATAAACACATCCCGTTAAAGACTCACTGACTAAAACACCACACTAGGGATACACAGATTCCGTTAAAGACTCATGTATACATGTGTACCGAGTAAGCAGTATACATGTGTACCGAGTAAGCAGTAGTTGCTTTGACTTATCCATGCTTCTACTTTATCCCATAAAATGTAAGTCTTAGAAGTTGGTGTTGAGTTTAGAGAGAGGATATTGAACTTAATAATAGAACAGAGGTGTTTCTTCTCATCTTGGTAGAGGAGTCATGAAATAAACATAAAAGTTGATTGAGTTCAAACTTTCTTTTGAAGTGTGTGTAATATCCACACCAAACCATCTCAATCACCTTAAACTGTTATAAAGTGTGTGTAATATCCACACCAAACCATCTCAATTACCTTAAACTGTTTTGAAATGTGTGTAATATCCACACCAAACCATCTCAAACACCTTAAACTGTTATGAAGTGTGTGTAATATCCACACCAAACCATCTCAATCACCTTAAACTGTTTTGAAGTGTGTGTAATATCCACACCAAGCCATCTCAATCACCTTAAACTGTTTTGAAGTGTGTGTAATATCCACACCAAACCATCTCAATCACCTAAAGCTGTATAAAGCTTGTCACCATTTGGTGAAATCTGTAACATCACCTTTGTGGGGCTGACATTAAGAAACTAGATTCAACTCGTCAGTTATTGTTGTCCAATGTGAGGTTGTGTTTTCTTTCAGGGTATAATCTTTGAGTCGTATTTTGTTATAGACACATGTAAGAGTTTTATATGTTTCTTTTTTTACTTCAACTCGTCAGTTATTGTTGTCCAATGTGAGGTTGTGTTTTATTTCAGAGTATAATCTTTGTATTTCGTATTTTGTTATAGACACATGTATGAGTTTTATATGTTTCTTTTTTTACTTTGTATTATTTTGTTTGACTATTTATGGTGGAGTAAAATTTATTATTGGTACTTTTAAAAAAAAATGTGATTTTTACACCATTCTGATATTGATTTGATACAGAAGTTGATTGTGCAGTTACTACGAAATACTTTTTATACTTACAGCTTTCAGAAATTGTTCGAGAGTTTAAATCAACCAACAGGCTGCTCTTAACGGGAACGCCGTTACAGAATAATCTTCACGAGCTGTGGGCTTTACTCAACTTCCTGCTGCCTGATGTGTTTAACTCCTCCGAGGTAACCACTGAGTGTGTAGTTATAACATTTCTGTGTAGAGGTCACTAGTGAGATTCAGGACGACCAGATGGTGACTTTTTTCGTGACTTCTGAATAAGAGTATTTAATAATGCATTTGGGCACTTTTTCTCGGCCCGGCATAGCCAGGTGGTTAGGGCGCTCGACTCGCAATCTGAGGGTCGCGGGTTCGATTCCCAGTCACACCAAACATGCTCCCCCTTTCAGCCGTGGGGGCGTTATAATGTGACGCTCAATCCCACTATTCGTTGGTAAAAGAGTAGCCCAAGAGTTGGCGGTGGGTGGTGATGACTAGCTGCCTTCCCTCTAGTCTTACACTGCTAAATTAGGGACGGCTAGTGCAGATATCCCTCGTGTAGCTTTGCGCAAAATTCAAAACAAACAAACAAACTTAATGAATCACTAAAGCGTGATTTTCTCTCTGCAATTTAAAATCAAAATTTTTAGGTACATAATTCTCTTAATTTTATGTTGCATGATAACATAATGTTTTAAATATTTGCTATGAAAAGAACAAAAATCGGCAGTGCATAATGAAAGATCCTGAATTTCTTTTTGTACTAAGAGTTGTCACACCTTTGGAGGATTAAAATTAACAATGTTGATTGATTGTGTAAATCAGACTTTTAATTACAAAAACATGACTTTGATGTGTTTGTGTATAATATTGTTTTGAGTTGTATTTTAAATGTAAAATAAAACAGTATATTTTGTTCGATCCCTACAGGATTTTGATGCGTGGTTTAACACTAGCAACTGCTTGGGAGACACAAGCCTTGTTGAAAGATTACATGCTGTAAGTTTTGAGTTTGAAATTTGTTCCCAAAATTGTCCTTTCACATCAGTAATGTTAGTTTCCTGTCATATCATGGCTATCTGTTTAGAGCAAAACCAAAAATCAACCAAGTAATGAATATAGCTAATTAAATTCTTACTTATAAAGTTTCAAAGGTATTGTTTTGTCACTTGCTTACCCTTGCCATTAATGCTGTTTTCGGTCATAAACCCAATATTTTGCATTGTTTGGTAAGCTTAGAAAATTTGTGTTAGTCCTAAATAGATATATTAAGCTAACATTGCTCGACAATCTCTGTATTAATCATTCTAACCAATGCTGTTAATAAAAGTAACAAGAATATCTTACTTTGTGATGACAGTTTTAAAAATTACACATTTCTGAATACTTGGTTTTTAATAAATTTGTTTTTTCAGGTACTAAGACCCTTCCTGTTACGTCGACTGAAGTCTGAAGTGGAAAAAAAATTGAAACCAAAAAAAGAGGTTAAAATCTATGTTGGTCTGAGCAAGATGCAGAGAGAATGGTAAGTCGAACATCATTGGGAAAAGTAACTTGTTTTTGTATATTTCTCCTGTTATGGTTCCTGTTTCAAATCTGGAAATGTTAATGTTTTTTGACAGGTACACGAGAGTATTGATGAAAGACATTGACGTAGTGAATGGTGCTGGGAAGGTTGACAAGATGCGACTTTTAAACATTCTAATGCAACTTCGAAAGTGTTGTAATCATCCTTATCTTTTTGATGGAGCTGAACCAGGTTTGTTATTGTTATGAAAGTTTCAATATATTTTGCAAAATAAGTCTTTATTTACGTGTTCTAAAATTTGTTAGAATTCTGGACCAGGGAATCGAGATGTGTTCCTGCCAAGAACATTTCTGCACTTTTAATTGTGGGTGTGTTATAAGAGTGACAGTAAATCCTACTATTCAGTTAAGATTAGCCACTTAAGACAGAAGGTGCTGCCATCTGAACTCCCCACCCTCTCTCTAATCTACAGATCAATATTAAGGATGACCATATTTTAACTATATGGGTCTCTGATCTGATCATTTTAATTTATTGTGTGCATACGGTGTTAGTTAGCTGACTTTTATTTACTAATAATCGTTGGTTTTAGTCCAATATTTGTATGTTGATGACACGGTACAATGTTTTATGGCTCAGTTAACACATTTAATATGATTCACATTAATAAATTGTAAGTAAGTGTAAAAAACATTAGCTCACTTCCTGAAGTGATTTTATTTTACACTGATGCCCAAAATGTTTTATACACCATCCACCATTTCTTCCTGGCCGACTTGTTTCCCTGTGACCCAAAAACTCTGAATTATTTTGTTTGTTTTTAACACTTCTGTTGCTAACATAATTTAAAATTTTTATAAATTAGCTAATTTTTATACATATAATTATAACAATTAGTAAATTGAATCTGAACCTTGTTGGTTTCGGAGAAATCTCTTATCTCTGAGACTTGTACACCTTGTAGTGTTTAATGTTCCAACCATGTACTTGTATTTTGATGGTAATCAGGTGGGCCCTTTCTTGATACAATTGTTTCAGTCACGTTAAGTAATGATTCTTACTTTTCTTTGTAACATGTTGGATTAAAGATTAATAATTATTTCCATGTGTGGTTTTTGTTGTTTTGACATTTTTTTTTCCTAGGTAACTTATAGCACAAGATGTTTAGTCTTTTCATTTTCTTACCATCAAATTGACGACAAACTTGCTTTTAATAATCCATGTCCTCTTCATCAATGGCGTGGCCTTTTCATTGATAAAATAGTTAGCAGAAAGTGGTGTCCTCTAGTCTATCCTTGCAAAATTCAACCGATAGCCTGAGCTGAACAATTACCTGTCTGTACATTACAGGACCACCTTACACTACAGATGAACACTTGGTGTACAACTGTGGCAAACTGGTCATCCTTGACAAGTTACTTCCAAGGTTACGGGAACAAGGATCTCGTGTGCTGATTTTCTCTCAGATGACACGCATGTTGGACATTCTTGAGGACTACTGTCTGTGGCGGGGATATATGTATTGTCGTCTAGATGGGCAGACCCCACATGAAGATAGAGAGGTATGTAAGTACGGGACATTATCTGCCGATGTCTAGGTAGGTTAGTTTGGGTTACTCTGTTTTCTACTGAAAATATTGGGACATTACGTAC